GTGGAGGCCGAGGCCGAATTTTCGGAGCCCACATTGGGAAAGTGATCCAAATAACAAAAAACTAACCACTGCATTTTGCTTTGCTCTTAATTTTTGGAGCTTTAAAAAACAACCTGTACAGCTCATTCTTTCACGGAGGCCAAATACAAGACCTTAGCATATGCAGCCACCAATGTCATATGGCTCCGCCATCTTCTCCATTTCCAACTCAATGGAAAAAGCCACACATCCTTTTTTACGACAACACCTTTGCCATAGCATTGGCTAATAACCCAGTATTCTATGGTCGCAAAAGTACATCGAAGTTGGCAACCATTTTATGCAGGAACATCCAAAGATATTATTGTTCTTCATGTCAACTCTCAAGATCAGCTAGTCAATATTCTTACAAAAGCTCTATACACTAGCAGATTTCATCAACTACGTGAGGGGAGGCAATAATCCAACCTCGGCTCATCAACTTGCGGGGAGGCAATAACAACATTCATAACTCCAGTGGGGACCAGATAAGTGGAGCAGCCATTAACACTGCCAATCCATCATCACCACAAAAGTACATCCACATCCGAAACAGAAGTTTCTTCTTCAGCTCGATGATACTTATAGGAATAAATGTTGTATTGTTGTTTTTCTCAATGGACATTTCTATTTCCTTCTCTGTTATAGTGACTCATTCATTTCTGTAACTTCCTCTTAAGTCAATGGGAACTTTAACTTATCTGTTTCTCAATTCTGCAATATTTTCTCACATGCCATGTACAAACACCATCATACACTTGTTCAAATTACTAAAGATGAATGGAAAGTTAGAAGCAGATATTGTTTTCTTTTCACTAGATTTCCATTTTTTTTAATGAATGTTTGACTTGGCAATTCATGAAAAGGTTATTAGCGTACTGCTAATCTACTGATGTTGAGTTACATCAAAGCTATTTTGGTCTTATCAGATGTATTTTTCAGATTACAGGAGAATTAGTTTTTTTTTTTTTCTTTTATCTATTTATCTGTCTATTTATTCCTTTTGTTATTCTTTTTAAGTGAAATTTGACTTCAAAAAATTTTAATGGAGTTGATTTTTCTCATATAGATGTTTTCTATTTCTCTCGGTTCAGGGTTTTCTGGGTCTCAGTGGGGCTATACTCATTCAAATATACCGAACATTATTTAATGGCAACCCAAGCTCATTTCTCCTGATGCTTGCTCTGTTACCCACGCTCATTCCATTTTTGCTGATGTTTTTTGTTCAAATACACCATACAAATGGGGGAGATAATCTCAGATATCTTAATGTTTTTTCATTCATTTCTATAGCAGTTGCTACATATCTTATGATTGTCATAATAGGAGAGCATTTCATCACATTACAACTATCAATCCGCATCTCAATATTCTTACTGCTGCTGCTACTTCTCATATCTCCATTATTCGTAGTATTCAAAGCTCAATTAACAGAATCCAGAAGCAGATCAGCTTATCATGATGAAATCAGATTGATAGAAGATATAAATCCACCAGAAAATGAGGAACAGAAGAGCAACCGAGATCAAGGATTTCTTCCAAGAGTTGAAAACATGAATCTATTTCAAGCAATGAGAACATCTGAATTCTGGCTGCTTTTTCTAGTCATGGCCTGTGCAATGGGTTCTGGTCTGGCAACTGTGAACAACATCAGTCAAATAGGAAGTTCTCTTGGCTACACAAGCACGGAAACAAGCACTTTGGTTTCTCTATGGAGCATATGGAATTTTCTCGGTCGATTCGGCGCCGGCTATATCTCGGATTACTTTCTTCACGAGAAGGGCTGTGCGAGGCCATTTTTCATCGCCTTAACCCTCGCTCTTATGACCATTGGTCATGTCATCATCTCCTCTGGTTTTCCAGGCTCATTGCATTTGGGTTCAATACTCATAGGAGTCTGCTATGGTTCTCAGTGGTCACTGATGCCCACAATCACTTCAGAATTGTTTGGTATAAGGCATTTTGGAACTATTTTTAACACAGTGGCCATTGCAAGTCCAGTAGGGTCTTACTTCCTTTCTGTAAGGGTGGTTGGTTATATCTATGATATAGAAACATCATCTGGAATGGAAGTCTGCAAAGGTACACACTGTTTTATGCTATCTTTTCTTATAATGGCGTCTGTTACAACGATCGGATTCGCCGTTTCGACGGCGTTATTCCTTAGGACAAGAGTGTTTTACAAACGGTTCATATTGATGAGATCTTTATCCTGAGCTCTGAAATGTGTTCCTCTTACATGGTTTTATGTTTTAAGGTATATGGTGTAAATGAATAGTCATTTTGCTCACATAAGCAGGGATGAAATTCTTGTTCCAGTTGCTAGTTACTGATTTTTCTGTAGGGTTTTATTATCCAGATCTTTGTGAGGATTCTGATTGCCATATACTGTGTTCTTAGTTGTTCAATGTCACATACATATATATTATATGTTGTAAATATGAGCTTGGCTTATTATTTTCTCATTTCTATCACACCATGCTTTTATTATATTTTGCTATATTAAGCATGTATCTGATCAGTGATTCCTCCTTTAATTAATTTTTACATAGCCTACTCAGATCATAATTAAGCACTAATTAACTTAGGTTTTGTTTGGGGCGGCTTTCTTACTGTTTCTTAAAGCGGCTTTCTAGTTCAAAATTTTTGTACTAGAAATCCGCTTTAAGAAGCAAAAAGAAAACTGTCTCAAACGAAGTCTTAATGGCATAATTAGTTCACAATTAGTGGTTATTTAGGCTAATCAATCT